TGCAATGAGAACGCGTGGTGTGCATTTGTGTCATGCCTTCACGTAAAGTCCTGGTCACAAAAGCAAAGTTTGTGGGGAATAAGAGCCAGTTTCTATACTTTTTAGGCATACCCAATTAAAAAGTAACACTTACTACCCAGGAACAAAAATCGTGTTACATAGTGTTATGATAGCGATGATGAAGATGCTGCTCCTAATGTTGATGCGTCTGATGATGGTGCTGCTGCTGCTCTTGATTATGATGATGAAGATGCTGCTCCTAATGTTGATGCGTCTGATGATGATGATAGTGCTGCTGCTCTTGATTATGATGATGAAGATGCTGCTCCTAATGTTGATGCCTCTGATGATGGTGCTGCTGCTGCTGCTCTTGATTATGATGATGAAGATGCTGCTCCTAATGTTGATGCGTCTGATGATGATGATAGTGCTGCTGCTCTTGATTATGATGATGAAGATGCTGCTCCTAATGTTGATGCGTCTGATGATGATGATAGTGCTGCTGCTCTTGATTATGATGATGAAGATGCTGCTCCTAATGTTGATGCCTCTGATGATGGTGCTGCTGCTGCTCTTGATTATGATGATGAAGATGCTGCTCCTAATGTTGATGCCTCTGATGATGGTGCTGCTGCTGCTGCTCTTGATTATGATGATGAAGATGCTGCTCCTAATGTTGATGCGTCTGATGATGATGATAGTGCTGCTGCTCTTGATTATGATGATGAAGATGCTGCTCCTAATGTTGATGCCTCTGATGATGGTGCTGCTGCTGCTCTTGATTATGATGATGAAGATGCTGCTCCTAATGTTGATGCGTCTGATGATGATGATAGTGCTGCTGCTCTTGATTATTATGATGAAGATGCTGCTCCTAATGTTGATGCCTCTGATGATGGTGCTGCTGCTGCTCTTGATTATGATGATGAAGATGCTGCTCCTAATGTTGATGCGTCTGATGATGATGATAGTGCTGCTGCTCTTGATTATGATGATGAAGATGCTGCTCCTAATGTTGATGCCTCTGATGATGGTGCTGCTGCTGCTGCTCTTGATTATGATGATGAAGATGCTGCTCCTAATGTTGATGCGTCTGATGATGATGATAGTGCTGCTGCTCTTGATTATGATGATGAAGATGCTGCTCCTAATGTTGATGCCTCTGATGATGGTGCTGCTGCTGCTGCTCTTGATTATGATGATGAAGATGCTGCTCCTAATGTTGATGCCTCTGATGATGGTGCTGCTGCTGCTGCTCTTGATTATGATGATGAAGATGCTGCTCCTAATGTTGATGCGTCTGATGATGATGATAGTGCTGCTGCTCTTGATTATGATGATGAAGATGCTGCTCCTAATGTTGATGCCTCTGATGATGGTGCTGCTGCTGCTGCTCTTGATTATGATGATGAAGATGCTGCTCCTAATGTTGATGCGTCTGATGATGATGATAGTGCTGCTGCTCTTGATTATGATGATGAAGATGCTGCTCCTAATGTTGATGCCTCTGATGATGGTGCTGCTGCTGCTGCTCTTGATTATGATGATGAAGATGCTGCTCCTAATGTTGATGCGTCTGATGATGATGATGATGATAGTGCTGCTGCTCTTGATTATGATGATGAAGATGCTGCTCCTAATGTTGATGCCTCTGATGATGGTGCTGCTGCTGCTGCTCTTGATTATGATGATGAAGATGCTGCTCCTAATGTTGATGCGTCTGATGATGATGATAGTGCTGCTGCTCTTGATTATGATGATGAAGATGCTGCTCCTAATGTTGATGCCTCTGATGATGGTGCTGCTGCTGCTGCTCTTGATTATGATGATGAAGATGCTGCTCCTAATGTTGATGCGTCTGATGATGATGATAGTGCTGCTGCTCTTGATTATGATGATGAAGATGCTGCTGCTATTAATGAGGATGCTGGGTGTCATGATTATGATGCTGTCGCTACTGCTGCTGATTACAATGATGATGGTGCTTCTGATGCCTTTGCTGATGACCAATATTATGTTGTTGCTTTTGCGGTTACCCGGAGCTACTGCTGGTGTGCTATTGTATGGGTGTCCCGCTTGTGCATAGGTTTGTTACTATATGGGTGTAACACCATATACGTGTTGCTGCTGCATAGGTGTGGTGGTGTATAGGTGTGCTTCTGTATGGATGGCCTACTGAATAGACTTCGATTTAAAGCGTTCGTGACTGCAGAGATTCATCTTCTTGGTTCTTTTCGGTAAAGTCACGTAGAAGGGAAATAAAAAAATAAAACAATAAAATAATTATCACGACGGCTGCTTGCGTTGTGGCCGAAACGTCGTGAGAATTGTATTTTATTATGTTTTATTTTTATTATTTTATTATTTCCCTTCTACGTGACTCTACTGAATAGACATGTTGCTGTATAGACGCGCTGCTGTGTCGGTGTGCTTCCATATGGGTGTTGCCGTTCTCTATGTGTGCTGTTTGTGAATGGGTGTACTGCTGTGTGGGTGTGCTGCCGTGATCAGAGTGTGCTGCAAATGTGTCTGCGCATGCCGTGATGAGTCCGGGGCACTTTGGCAGGAGGTTTGTGCCGCCTGAGTGGACCTTGTGCGATGAATTATGCAAAAACCCGCGCTCATGAATAATTCAGCGGCTCTGGGAGCGCGCTCCGCATTATTGCGACCATATGATCTGTCAGCAGCCACGGGGAGAGGGGGGAGAGAGTGGAAGGAGAGGAAAAAGGGAGAGTCAATGAGAGGGAAGGTGGGAGAGGGGAGGGCAGAGGCGGGGAGCGCGGACATGAGCATTCCTTGTGAGCGTCGAGGAGAGAGGTAGGGAGATGAGAGCGGGAGAGAGGGAGAGGGGTGGCAGGGAGAGAGAGAGAGGGAGATGAGAGCGGGAGAGGGGGAGAGGGGGAGAGGGGCAGAAGGGAGAGGCAGGGAGAGGGGCAGCAGGGAGAGAGGGGCAGCAGGGAGAGAGGGAGAGGGGCAGAAGGGAGAGGCAGGGAGGTGGTAGACGGGGAAGGGCAGCGAGAGAAAATATGTATGGAAGGGAGAGACAAGGAGAAGAAAGGGACAGGAGAAAGGAGAGAGAGAGATAAATGGAGAGAAGGAAGAGAGAAAGACGACAATTGAGAGGTTGGGAGAGAAAGGGGAGGAGGGAAGAGACAGTGAGAGAGGGGAGAGGAAGAGAGAGAGAGAGTGGAGAAGGTAGAGGAAGAGACAGAGAGAAAGAGAGTGGAAAAGGTAGAGGAAGAGAGAGAGGAGGGAGAGTGAAAGGGAATGAGAGAGGGTACAGGGAGATCTCAGCTGTGGACGCCAACCTGGCACCCACCCAGGACGGCCGTGGTAAATATGGAAACAAAGGATCGTGGTGGGGGGGGGGGGCTGATGTTGCCCCCCCCCCGACCCCCAGTGTCGTAGTGACGGCTGGGGGAGCGCACGATGCTATCCGGGCGTGGTGGCCTCTCGCGCGCCTGTGATCCAGCGCTCTAGAGGCAGGGGTTGGCGGATGACGACGAGATTTGCGTGACCCCTGACACCGCTTGGCTAGCTGCGAGGTGGCCCAGATGTGACAGGGCAGCAGACGGGCTCGTGAACCCGTCTGTGCGGACATCGGCGTGTGACCCCCCCCCACCACCACCACGTGTATGCGTGGTGGATTTATCTCTGGGTTCTTGCGGTTCCAGACCCTACGAAGCCAAGATCAAGATCGAGCAGTGCACTGGACTTCATGATCAGAATCTTTAGCCATCCTGGAGGAATCCGATGAGCTATGAAGCTCTTTTTTCACAGATGTCCAGTAAAGCGGCGGGTTCGCAAGTTACAACGAGACAACAACAACACCCCGATAGGAGTGCAAAGTAGAGAAAAGGTTAGCAGGTAACTTCGGAATCACAGGTTCGGGCCTCCCCCCCATCTCTCGGCGCGGGCAGTTGAAAATAAATGGGGCGCCGCGTTTCTGAAATCCGTGAGTTCGCCACGAAGTTTTCCACCGCAAACCGGGTGGCGGTTTCGCGGCTTTCGGAATCTCCCGTTAATAGATTCTGAAAAGATTTTCGGTTCGCCGTTTGCCGTGTATAGCGACCTAATTATTTGGGTAGATGCAGGACGCCTCTTGGTGGGGTTCGGGAGAGGTGCGGGGGGGGGGCAAATCCCACCACGTGCCCCCCCCCCGGACGCCCTCAAACTAAATCGAAAGTTTTACATCTGACACCGGGTAACGTCGAAACGTGAGGACCCCCAAAGCGCGGGGCCCGGGCGGTCGTCCCGACTCGCCGTACCCTCGGAACGGCTCTCGGTAGATTAATCAAATACTGTCGTAAATCATCGTCATCAGCCACGCCACGATTTATCCACTGCTGGATGAAGGCCCCCCCCCCGCCAAGCCGTCCGTGAGTCTCACGATCCCGCCGCCTCACGAGGTTGATTTCACCGCTCCATCTCCTCGCGGGCGCGTTCCATTCCTCGGTTTCTGCTCCGTCCTTCGTCTCGACGAGAGCAGACATCGTGCCTTGGAGCCGTGACGCGTGCTGCCCAAGCACCCCCCCCCTCCTCCTCTGCCTCGACACAGCCGCGTAACCAGCGTGGGGGGCAGGGGGTGCCTTACCCTCCCCACCTAAGCTACGAGTTGAGGCCACCCTTAACAGCCACCACGAGGTATGTCTTCAACAACAGTGTCAAAGAACAAAAGACTTATTTTGCCAAGGCGGAGCTGCCCCTACAGCGTTAAATGTCCGAGACCGCGAGCGTAACGATGTGATCAGGCAAGAGGAGCCGCGATGCACAATCGCCCTAGGGGGCGACCGTGCGAGACAAACCAAATATTGCGGACGACCCACCCGACCGAGCTGATAACGTGGTGACAACGCAACCGCCTCGACAGCAGCCAACGCGACGTCTGGAACTCGCGCGCGTGTCCTCAGGTCCAAGCGCTCCTCCTCTCTCTTTCTCTCTGTGGTTCAGCGTAATTACAACATTAATTTAAACCTGCATTAGAAGATAGCGGATTGTACCTGCAGCGATATGACCTCCCGCTTGCCTCCTTTGTTCTCTCCGACTCACCCCTCGCTTCCCCCATCCCCGTCCCCCCTCCTCCCCCTTCCTCTCTCACGTGTCCCATAGATGTCGCTGTACAGCCATCCCCTGGGTCTTGCCCACGAGAGGTGGAGTCGCCCACATGGAATCACTGAGCCAAGGCACAGCAGTACAGCAACTAGGCTGAGGGTTCAATCTGCATAGCGGATGTGTCAACTTCCGATGCGATGTTGTGGAGTGGGGGAGGAGAGAGGGGGGGGGAGGGCGTTCAATAAATTGTGGTGGTGGGGGGCGGAAACTGGGCAGCGTGGGGTGTCTCATCCGTAACGGGACCCATCACGCTGTTAAGGAATAAAAATAATTATATATGTAAAAATGAATGCAGTCAATGTGTCTGGAATTCGCGATACGGCCACGGGGCCGCTGCGAGGGATTACTTAATGGGAGTTAATTTTCCACGAACCCTCCCTCCCTGGCTTCCGCACAACTTTCCTCCCTCTCCCATCCACCCCTCCTTCCCTCCCAGCCTGACCCCCCCCCCCCTCTTCCCCAGTAGAACCACCACCATCCACTATCAGCAGCACCACCATCCACTATCAGCACCACCACCACCATCCACTACCACCACCACCATTCACTACCAGCAGCAGCACCACCACCATTCACTACCAGCACCACCACCATTCACTACCAGCAGCAGCACCACCACCACCATTCACTACCAGCAGCAGCACCACCACCATTCACTACCAGCACCACCACCATCCACTACCAGCACCACCACCATTCACTACCAGCAGCACCACCACCACCACCATTCACTACCAGCAGCACCATCCACTACCACCACCACCATCCACTACCACCACCACCACCATCCACTACCACCACCACCACCATCCACTACAAGCACCACCACCATTCACTACCAGCAGCACCATCCACTACCACCACCACCATCCACTACCACCACCATCCACTACCACCACCACCATCCACTACCACCACCACCACCATTCACTACCAGCACCACCACCATTCACTACCAGCAGCAGCATCAGCATCCACTATCAGCACCACCACTACCACCATCCACTACCAGCAGAGCCACCATCCATTACCAGCAGCAGCAACACCATAACCACTATAATCCATTACCAGCAGCACCACCACCACCATCCAATACCATCATCAGCAGCACCACCATGATCCACTACCATCAGCACCACCACCACCATCCAATACCAGCAGCAGCAGCACACAACTTCAGCGACATGAATGATGGAGCTCCGTGGACTGGCAGGGAATAATAATAATAATCTCAGCGCCACTGCCGCCTCGCTTCTTAGCCCGATAATGCTTCTTTGGCGCGCGTGTGAGCTGTGTGTTGTTATCGTGTCAACGTCGCCACTTAAGGGGACAAAGGCGGTCGGGCGCGGTGTTGGTCACCCATCACGTCGCGTGCCGTGCCTGCCTGCCTGCCTTAATAGGTGCTCGCTAACAGCTCTGGTCCCAACAGTCTGTTGAAGAAGACTACATGGGGGTATTTGTCTTGTGTTTGTTTGTATTAGTGTGGGGAGTGGTGGCGCAGTGATTAGCACACTGCGCGACGTACCCGACCAACCGAGTACGATTCCCAACTCGCGGATAATATCAGTGGCGAATGTGTGTGTGGGTCTTGGTGAATTCTTGATGAATGTGTGTGTGGGTCTTGGTGAATGTGTGTGTGGGTCTTGGTGAATTCTTGGTGAATGTGTGTGTGGGTCTTGGTGAATTCTTGGTGAATGTGTGTGTGGGTCTTGGTGAATTCTTGGTGAATGTGTGTGTGGGTCTTGGTGAATTCTTGGTGAATGTGTGTGTGGGTCTCGGTGAATTCTTGGTGAATGTGTGTGTGGGTCTTGGTGAATTCTTGGCAAATGTGTGTGTGGGTCTTGGTGAATTCTTGGTGAATGTGTGTGTGGGTCTCGGTGAATTCTTGGTGAATGTGTGTGTGGGTCTCGGTGAATTCTTGGTGAATATGTGTGCGGGTCTTGGTGAATTCTTGGTGAACGTGTGTGTGTGTCTTGGTGAATTCTTGGTGAATGTGTGTGCGGGTCTTGGTGGATTCTTGGTGAATGTGTGTGTGGGTCTTGGTGGATTATTGGTGAATGTGTGTGCGGGTCTTGGTGAATTCTTGGTGAATGTGTGTGTGGGTCTTGGTGAATTCTTGGTGAATGTGTGTGTGGGTCTTGGTGAATTCTTGGCGAATGTGTGTGTGGGTCTTGGTGAATTCTTGGTGAATGTGTCTGTGGGTCTTGGTGGATTCTTGGTGAATGTGTGTGTGGGTCTCGGTGAATTCTTGGTGAATGTGTGTGTGGGTTTTGGTGAATTCTTGGTGAATATGTCTGTGGGTCTTGGTGAATTCTTGGTGAATGTGTGTGTGGGTCTTGGTGAATTCTTGGTGAATGTGTCTGTGGGTCTTGGTGGATTCTTGGTGAATGTGTGTGTGGGTCTCGGTGAATTCTTGGTGAATGTGTGTGTGGGTTTTGGTGAATTCTTGGTGAATGTGTGTGTGGGTCTTGGTGAATTCATCAGTGACTCAACCACGGCCCTAAAATCCCAACAACCCAAGTTCAATTCCGACGCGATACAGCATCACCATCAGCAGCCTCAAGCCATCATCATCATCACTGTTAAATAGATACCTGCACATGTCCTGTACCTCCCCTGGTTCCACTCAGCCTAAAATCAGTAGCACCTGCTGCAATCAGCGGGATACCGTCTATACGATCACAGGGGGAGACAAAGGCGACCGGGCGTGCCTTGTTGGCTGCCCCCCCTGCCCTGCTGTGAGGCACACAGGAGAGACAAAGGCGGCCGGGCGTGCCTTGTTGGCTGCCCCCCCCCCCTGCCTTGCTGTGAGGCACACAGGAGAGACAAAGGCGGCCGGGCGTGCCTTGTTGACTGGCCTCGCCATGCCCTTAATAGGTGCTCGCTAACACAACGTGTCGTGCTCTCCGGGCGTCTCGGTGCGCGGGGGGTGGGAGGTCGCGTCACGTGACTGGCAGCCGAGCTCTCGCTGGGGGCGGAGGGGGTTCAAGGGGAGGGGGAGGTGGAGGGGCAGGGGGGGGGGAGGAGGGTTGGGGGTGGGGGGGGACAGGTGACCTTGGTCTGTGTCTCCGCGGTAACGTGGGACCCCGTGTGCCCGTGTTGGCGGGAGGGGGTGACAGGGCGGGGGATAAGGGCGGGGCTGGGGGCACGAGGGGATATCATGGGGGGGGGGGGTGGTAGAGGCGCGGGGCTGGGTTGGGGGGAGTAGGGGGCGGGGCTGGTGGAGGACGGGGGAGGGGGTGGGGGAGGGGGGGCAGGAGGAGGGAGCGAGACGGTGCGGGAGTGAGAGAGTTCGCGCGTGCATCACGGGGAGGAGGCAGGAGGGAGGGAGGGATGTGGGTGATGGTGATGATGGTAATGATGTGTGTTGATCGAGGTGGCGGGAGTGATTGACGCGGGTTGTGACAGAGGGGTGGTGGTGATGGTGGTGGGTGTTAGGTTGCTGTGATGGCGGTGATGGTAGTGGGTGGTGGAGGTAGTGATGGTATTGAAGGTATATTTCTTCGTTACCGTCATGATGTTTGTGTTTGGTGGTCGGTGGTGACGATGGTCGTGGATGTCGAGCAATGGGTGAGGTGGATGATTGTGATGATGGTGAATCATGGTAATGGTGGTGAGTGATGGTGGTGATGGTGATGGATGATTGCATCGCATGCAGCAACAAGGAGAGCAAAAACCGTCACGCAACTCCGGGCATCCTCGCAATCGAACAAAGATGGTCACCGCCATCGCGCGCTTCCACAAGCGCTTCTGCGGCCGTCTGGAACGCTCTTCATTCCGATATTAAGAAACCACTGGAGCTATGCACCGTTCAAAACTCATTTCTTTCTAACTGTTTGTGTGTGTGTTTAGTTTGTTGTCCTTCAAACGCACCTCCGATTAGCGCGGTTGGCTACGTACGATGCAAATTATTTTGTCAAGGCGCTCTTCCCCCCTCCATCCCAGCTTAAATAGTCGCTCCAAGCCTGGGGTGTGTCATTCAGACTCTGTCTTCTCGACAGACCTGTTCTCCACCTGAGGACGGCTGCTTGGGTTGTGGCCGAAACGTCGTGAGAATGATTTTATTATGTTTTATTTTATTATTTTATTATTTCCATTCTACGCGACTTTACCGAAAGAACCAAGAAGATGCTAAAGAAGTTCAACATACAACAACAACAACAATGTCACCCATCAACAGCACCAACAGTCACAAGACAAATAACGGCGTCTCGTATTTCTGTACGAAGTGGTACCCACTTTATCACGACTCCTGTGCCAGGCTAGGTGCTCTCCAGATCACACCACTGCTCAATCATACGCTTGTCTCACGCGGTTCGCGACTCCATCTCAGCGTCATCCACCAACCCCTGTTGTAAATCCCATTTAAGTCGATCAGTGCGCACGCACCGTGCAAGTGATGTTAGCGAGCACCTATTAAGGTCAGCAGGCCCGGTACACGAGGGGGTGGTGTGGCGAGAACCACGTTCTTCCGCCGTTGTGTTCCGAGTGACAATGTTAACAACGGGACCAGCTACTCATTGCAGGCGGAGTCGACCTAGGAGAGGCCCAGGACCAGTTCAGATATTCGTCACCGGTGTTGACAGTGAACAGGAATCGAACCCTTGGTCGCCGGGTTCGTGGTGTAGTGAGCGAACAGCAACACCACTGCTCCCCTACACACACACACACACGTGGGGCTACACACACACACACGTGGGGACACACACACCTTACGCGTGTACACGTGCACAAACGCTCCATCTTCACTCCGCTGTGTGTAGACGGTCTCAGACACAGCGGGTCACGGACCGCGTAGCCCCCCCCCCCCCATCTTTTATGGGGCAGACAGCCCCCACCCTCCCCCTCTACCCCCCTCCCCGCCGTCTCCCATTCACCCCCACCTCTCCCCTCCACCGCAATCACTATCCCCCCCACTCCCACCCGCAGCCGAATCGATACCGAATCTATTCCGCGTCCCCGTGACCCCGACCTCGGCTGAACTC